GTCACTCTTCAAGAATTTTAAACGATTCTCAATTCACTGTTCTAGGGTCTTCTCTCCCCACCTCTAATGCAGAAAGCTCTCGGTAAACACCACCGTGCACACGACCAACTCACGAACATCACTCATCACTCCCGATACGAACACGTTAAGTTAAGGTTCCGAAGTAACTGCTGGTGCTTCGGCACTACTGAACGCACTGAAATCCATTGTCAACTTGATCGCTGGTTGTGTTGATTGTACGGCATTGATTCGCTCGATTTTCGCTGCCGCCATAGCGCGTTGTGCTGCCTGTTGAGCAGTGACCGATCTGCTCGCTTGATAGCGGATTGACGACTCGATTCTGAAAGTCACTCTCGTTGACACGCAAATATTTTGCTGACACTTTTTTTTGAATCGTACAAGTCAAAACGGCACCAACAAACAATCGCACGGTCGCATCACAACTACCGCAGAAATTCACTCCTTTTCACAACGACAAAAATTCATCTATCACTACTGCAAAAACAGATTTCTTTGAAAAGCATCAATTTCGACTTCGAAACAATTCAATGCTAAGTGAAATTTGGCTAACAATAAGCTCTTTAGTCAATATTCTCTCAATGCGAAACGTTGCTCAAACTTCTTTCACAAATAAATATCAGTTTCAAGGACTGCTAAATTATCGAATCAACGAATGAATCAGCGAACTCAATCGCCATCTGCTCCCTATAAGCAGATAACTAGCTCCACGCAGATGGATGAAAGATGGACGGATGCATCCATTACACAGAAATAATTATTCAATCAACGGATCAAGAAATAAGCAAAGAATTTAATAAGCAACAAATCAGTTATCAGTAAGTAGTCAATTGCAACAATCGTAAAGACAAAACACCAATCAAATAACAAGTAAAGTGAACGAACCGTAACGAATGAAAATAATAAACAATAAGCGTTGACAACTTAGGAAATAATAAACAAACCTTTGTTTAAGCGCCGGGAAAGTGTGCAACACTTTCTTGAAGGCATCCGGATGTGCGGGTCCGATCAGATTCAGCCTCAGAATCGCATAGTCGTGCAAACGTCTCAGGGTCGGTGTCAGCTGACGATACTGTGTTGGCGGATCATCGCAAAGAAACTCGCCTAGCAGTTGTACCAAAACATTCACGAACACTATCTCTGAAATACATTCTATACGACTTTCCATCTTTAATGAATAACTCGAGTGGAAAAAAAACAAACGTCTCAAGTCGTCATTGAATTACAGCACAAAATTTGATTTCTTAACACTGCAAAAGTTTCAAGCTGATTAGTAATGAGTTCTGAATGTTTGGTTCGGGTAATAACAGTTAAAAGGAAACAGCACGGCACCTCGATTAACTTTAGCAATCGATAGGATCACTTCCAGCGAACGAATCGCCTCTTGTATGATCGGAACGTCGTCGTCTGAAATCGTCTCGAGAGCCGTCAACCTTGTTGCGTCTCCAGGAGCGAACTGTCGAATGCGTGCAAGCACATCGGGTGCGAGCTCTTTTATGAACGGATAGCAAACTTCACGACGAGCGAAGATTGACGATAGACTTTGGATGCATTTCACAACTATCTGAAATTATTCTGAATCACCGACCGACCACCTCTCGATTCAAAGATCATATTCCACCGCAATTGGATCGAATTATTCGATCAAACACCCAGAACTGTTCAACTCATTCAGCCATCAAATCAAAAAATACTAAATTCTAGGCAAAAGGAAGACAAGCGGGTGACTGTGTTCGTTCAAAATTTAATCATTCCGTTCCATTAATTTGATCGTTCAGTTTCGATTTTCTCACAATTCGAATAGAGACGCAAAAAGAGAAAACACAAATGCAATCAATGCATAGCGTACATGTTTCGATTCATCCTGTAAACAGTCCCTAAACAGTCGACACGCTTTGCCGAAGATCTCCGTATTGCCGAGGATAACACGTCGAGGAGCTGATGTGGCCAAGACGGCTGTCGCTAACATCACCACACCTCGATCAACTTTCGAATCGCCTGAATTCTCATCAGCATTATTCATTGATACTTCACAACTCAATCTTGGTCAAATGCTTGAGAAGCGCATCAACCATCGATCTAATCAA